TTCGGGTTTAGGGTTTAGCTGTTCAGAGTCTAGTTCCCTAAATTCCAAGCCTTGAACCCTAAACCCCTAAACCCTAAACCGATTTAGATGGAGAGGACGCCTCGTAAGGAGTTGAAGGTCCTTGAGCTTTCGGGCGGGGGTCTGGATTTATGCACTGAGGCTCCTTGGTTGGGGTTTGCGCGGTGAGGGTCCCTAAACCCCAAACCCGTTTCGGTGGTCGGCTGGTGGGGTCGTTTTGCGCCAGGAGTTCTACTTGTGACTGCCCGTCGTAAACCAAGCCGAAGTTTCTACTCGACCGCATTTTAGATATGTGTAGGAAGTATAGGTAATTTACCTGGAGCTAAAGCAAAGGCGATTCGATCCCATGTTTGCATCTGACATACTGCATTGGGAAGCATCCTTCCCGTACCGGATCTGTATTAAAGGGGAGCCGCTGCAACGCTAGACTGTCTAAGTCGATATATCGGCAGTGGCGCAAAGCTGGTTGAGTTTTCGGCACATACCGCCTGACTCACAGCTTGCACGCGGCCACTGCAATGCCGCATGCCCTTCCATCACATTTGCATCCGTTGCAACAGCAGCAGCAAATCCTAATCCCTAATATAGAAGCCTAAATAATCACCTATACAATTTTCGTAGTTCCTCATTATGATTTTACTATAATATATCCTTAATTGCTCTCAAAAAATGGCCCCTACATGAAGCCCCGGAAGCCCTAAAATCCCCAAATCCAGTATCTGCGCACGGCAAAAGGGCATTCGCAGCACGTGCCGCTCCCTGCCGCAGCGTCGGTTCCCAGGGTATCAAACAAGATGGCCACAGGTGTAGTTGAGTGGTAGACGTGGAAGGTCGTGTATTGTGATAATTCCTTATCGGAGTAGTAGTTGGCATGGTACAGTAACAGTGACAAAGCTGCGCTTTAAATTCTGGCGCCAGAATTTCCCCTGCCCTCCTTACCTGGCTTTTTTGGCTCCTACTAGGTAGCATCCACCCTGACACTCCTCGTTAAGGGCCGTTCGGATTCAACTGGGTCTTCCCTAAAACCTAAACTTGCATTTCAGGGTTTAGGTTTAGAGATGATGGCAGCGAGCGCTCCCGCTGCCAGGGAGCTGAGTCTAAGGCTCAGGCCACCTCTCGCCGCCGAGGGATCTGACCTACGGTTTCAGGACGGCTTAGGGTTAAGGGTTTCGGGCTCGTGCTATATAGTACAAGACTTGTACCTCAGAGCCCTATTCCAAATGCAAAGGCCCCTGCCATTGCTTTTAATTAGCCTGGCTCGGCATCGGGGGCCCATCTTTTCATTGACCATGCCAGCAGCACTGTCAAAACAACAACTTCGGTCGGGAATGGGTTTACTCTGGCAGGCGCATGCCAGCTTCTATTCGATGGAATAAGAACCTCACCTACTAAGAACTTTATTATTAATTTTGCAGAATAGAAGCATAATCCTGAGTGAAGAGCAGCCTTACACGTCGTGAAATATGAAACACCATGAACCGTAAATCCCCAAAAGAGAACACCCAAGCCCCGCAGGTCTTGAATTCGAAGGCGTCCGAATGCATCCACAGGAGTCGTAAGCCGACCCAAACTCCAAGCTGCAAAGCTAAGCAACGCTCACCCTGGCGTGTTGTCTTTTCTGCGGAGTGGGCCTGTGCCTATGCTGTGCCGGGGCGCATCGATCTAGTTCTTCGTTCGGACATTGATATACACCCCTTCAAACCTGAGCCCCGGACCATATCACTGTCCAGGATGAGCTCTTGGCCTTCCGCCCGTCGTACTTGAAGCAAGACGGCGTCAAACCCTGCGGAAGAAGCTGCAGTACCTCGCCGAGAGTTTAGTGCATACTATAGGCGCTTGGGGTCATAGGTATCAATGCTTCGATGGGTTAGAGGATGTCGGAGCTTGCCTAAAGTTGTGTTTTACCAGGCTGTCGACCTGGGTGTCAAACCACAAGGCTCCAAAAGGCTTTGCAGCCTGCTTCCCCAAGTTTGCAAGGCCGCGGTAGATCACAGTAGCTCAATGCACGACTCCTAGGTTTGCTCCAGGACAGCGGCTCATGTTGCAAGTTTCCTTAATGTTTCTTGTACTCGTAGCGTCTGTATCTTTGGCTTTCCGGGCCTTACTGGAGACAACAGCAACAGCAAGGGCACAACAATGACGAGTGCAACGACAAGTTACTACTATAGCCACCATGAGGATTGCATTTTTAGCACTCCGACGAGGATACAACTCTCATAGACCCTACCTAAGGGCTCAGGGGACTTAGGACCTAGAGTAAGTCGGGTTTTAATCGGGGATACAGGCCCCCTAAGTGGGATTGTCTTCATCATAGCCTTACTTACTCAGTTTTTTTGGGCTTTTTTTATTAGGCCCGAAAGCCCCAGCAGGTGCAGCTGCTCTTGGCATCCTGACCGCGGGCATCGTGCGCAGAGCGCGGCGGCCGCGAGGGATGGCAGCGGCCAAGAGCAAAGGCTCTGTGTAGGGTTTACCTTAAACTACCAAAAAAGGGTGGTTTATACTAAAAACCTACAGACAAGTAGGTCAGGGTAGCTTAAGGTAGGGATATTTCGGGTTTAGGTCGGTGAGGGACACTCTGCAGCATCGGGATTTAGATGCAAAGTTATCGGGCATGGTATTTGGCTCAGCAGATTTCCGCAGTTCAATGTAGCCTTCATGTCAAAAGCAGGTTGGAGTTTGGGGCTCAGGAGATTCGACGCCTAAGGCTCCGGGGGTTCGAAGTCGGATCTACCAATCGATGGATCTATATCTATCGCTCGATCTATCTATCTATCTATCTATCTATCTATATTTCTATCTCAATATCTATCTATCCATCTATCTATCTATCGATCTATCGATCTATCGATCTGTCTGTCTGTCTGTCTGTCTGTCTGTCTGTCTGTCTGTCTCTCGCTCCCTCTCTCTCTCTCTCTGTCTGTCTCCCTCCATCTCTCTCCCTCTCTCGCTGTGTACGTACACACACATACATATTATATATATATATTATATTTATATTATTTTTATATTATATTTTTATTATATTTATATTATGTACGTATGTATGCCAGTTTTTTGTCTACATATCTTTCTGTCTACCCTTACGGTGAACACAAGACTCCCCCCCCCCGTCCCCACCACCACCAAACACTAGTCTAATTATTAATTAAGGCCCCTATGGTAAACTTTAAGCCCACATAGTGAACCCTCAAGGGACCCTAATCGCCCTAATCTGATTATGAAGGCCCGTATGGTAGACTCTAAACACTAAACCTTTATGGAGCCCTTAAAGGAACCTGTAAGGCGCGCGATTCTAAGCATTAAGGTCCCATGTATAACGTTGCCCTATACCCCAAACCCTCTGGGGTTGTATTAGGTTTTGGGGCTTTTAGGGCTCACAAGTCGCGGGGCTTAATTATAGGGTTTATAGGGTTTTGGGTGGAGGTTGACTGCCCAACTTCGTGAGTCTCTCGGAGTGGCGTTTCGAGGTCGTTTTTTGTATATGCCGGCCTCAGTGTTGAAATCTTTTTGGAGCGGTGGATTTCCGAAGCCTATGTCATGGAGTTTATGCCCTTTCACAGCGAAGTTATCAGTGAGTTTAGTAAGGTGCTTAAATTTCAAGTAGTTTTTTTCAGAGGTGTCAGTTCTCATGCTCTCCTTGCTGTAGGTTTCGGGAGTATGTAGTTGGCTAGACCGGGCTGCTGGACAACGAGGCCTGTTGCAAAGGGCCTAGGTTCACGGTTACCAGGGTGACAGCAGAGTTAGGGTTCTAGGGTTGAGGATGGGGGGTTTCGAGCGTATCCATGTTTGGGGGTCACATGGGGGCCCGAAGAATTACCCACACTGGTGTTTCGGGCTCCTTCAGCTTGATTGTAATTATGCTGCACTATAGCCAAAACTCGGTTCTGATTGTTGAGGCCCTATTACAGGGCTGATAGTGGGGTTCAGGTTCAGGTGCGCGAACCCTAAGCCCAAACCGCCCTGTTCAGGTGACAGCCAGCCGGTCCCCACTCCGATAGGCAGATACTACATGCTCTTGGGATGCATTCTGCCAAAACCCTCCAGTATAGATTTGCTGTCTTTGCTTAGCCAATGATATGGTTAGGATCTATCCTTGGTCAACAAGGACGCAAAGTAGCCAAACGAGGAACTGCAATGGATGTTGCTGGTGAGCCCCCCGCGAGCTGCATGCTGCGTGCAAAAGCCCCGAAACCCTAAACCCTTATAAAGCCTAGTTAAGCCCTGTTGTGCTTGAATGTGGCACCCGAAACCCTAGGCTCGAAACCCTAAAACCTAGGTTCATCCTCTTGTCCACGGCCGTTCGCAGCTTTGAAGCGGGCGTGGTGGCATCCATGATGCCCGCCATCAGAACAGGCTGGGGCTTGGGTCCAGGCTTAAGGGAGCAAGGTTTCCGAATGGAAGGCTCAGGTTTACGGAGTTTACGGGTTCTGTAGAAGGAGGGTGAGGGCTCCAAGACGAATCTTTTCAGACTTACACTGTCTAGCAGCCTCATTTCGCTGATGTCAAACGCTCTCGGATAAGACCTAGACACCGAAGGTTTTCACTCACTCGGACGATGCTTGGGGGCGCAGCTCCAAGCGGTACTTCAGCAATCATCTCGTGTCAGCTCACCACGTCGACGGCGCAAGTCCAACAAGCCTCGCAACTCATGCTTTTCCTGCAGCGTCTCGCTGCAGAGCCCTCCTCCTTTTGTCCTTATCGGTTGTTGAGGAGTCTGGTCAAAATTGGGGTCATGTTGCGGCACTATTTCAAGAAGCTGGGGTTCCAACGTGGCGTCGTTCGGACGGACTTCAGGAACTGGGTTCAAATTTCACGGGGGGGCCTCACATGCCCAGTGCTGACGCAATGGATGCACCACCGCAGAGAGAGTGACAGAGAGAAAGCTCAGAAGGAGAGTAAAGCTTTAACTCTCGGCTCCTCCTGCAACAGACTTAGCAGCTGGTTATTTAAGGATTGTGGTGCCGCATGAACCCTACATCATCCTTCCGAATCCTAGACCCAGCATTCACAAACACACACCCTTGTGCCCTTCTTACAAAGTGTCCTGTACCACTATTTTCGAACAACAACATACATAAATGGAAAGGTGAGTAGATGGGTTGTTGATAGTCTGTTCGAGTAAACATCGCAAGCAATGAGATGAGTATCTGCGCGTATACCTGGTACACGCATACACACACACATATATATATATATATGTATACACATACAAACAAAAAAGCATACATACATATGCATATACATATGAAAAGATCCATGTATGTATGCATGTATGTATGCATGTATGTATGCATGTATGTATGTATGTATGTATGTATGTATGTATGTGTGTATGTATGCATGTATGCATGCATGTGTGCATGTGTGCATGTGTGCATGTATGTAAATACATGAGCAGTGTGAATAAGTATCGATGGCCGTGGTCATACATGCAATCCTGCTGGACGAAAACGCAGCAGTCCGAGCTTCGCCAGGCCTTCATCTGACATACACCAGCCAGGGCAACGTAGCCGGCTCACCCGATGCTTCGTCGTTCTGTTTAGTGGGTTTAGGGTTTAGGGCCTAGGATTTAGCAATCCCTCGGAACATTTCTGCACCCCGGAAAATTTCTGCAGAGCTCTATCATGGGTTCCTTTACGCTTTCTGCGTGGCTCTGGTTGGGCTCCCGTAGGTTGGTTTGGGATTCTCGGCTTCATGGGGGAATGTTTGGGGTTTGGAGTTTACAGGCAGAGTTTAAGGCTTTCAGGGTTAGGCTTTAGTGAGATATTGTTCAGGACGGGTCCCCGATTGGGGTACTCAAAGCATCCCAAAGCTATGGTATCGCTCAAGTCCTAAGAAGATTAGAAAGGAGTCTTGATAATTAGGACAACGCCCACGTGCTTCATTGCTTCAGCATTAAGTTGTGCTATTGTTTCTGGGCGGGGCAACGGACGTTGAAAGAGAAAGCTCGGTGCTCCTCAACTCCAAGATTCTCCCCGACCCTCCATTGTACTTTGTTCTTTTGTTGTTCGGCCTGCTAGTTTTGTAGTTGTTGTGCCCCTTGGCCACACATGCTCTATTGATCATGCACGTCATTCACCCAGACAGCAGGCAAGATAGACAGGTGGTTGTTTGGTTTTAAGGAGGTCGCTTGTAAATATCAACCGATATCTAGAGCAGAGGTGCACAAGGCCACCCCAGACTTCTGCACCCAAGTACCGCTTGCCTAGCTGAATTTCTGTTATCTGATCGATGAGGCATGTCGTTGCCCATCGGTGTGTTTTCATGCGTAGCTGCATCATTTACTCAGATCTTGCGCAGTATCGTTCTTGGATCTTGGGAGTTGATGTGTTGTAGGGGGTTTTTTGCCGTCGGCAACCCAAAGTTCGAAACCCCAGGACTACGGCATAGTTCCCAGTGGGCTGCTGGCAATGGCCGTTTTCCGTCGCTTCTCTGCCTTCTCGGCCTCTCGGCAAGCTCAGTCGCAGCTTGGGACACTGCAGGGATTCTCTGATTTCGGGTACAGTTTTTCTACAAGCCAAGGTTGGAACAGGATTTAGCGCAGTCGCAGAACCAGGGGTGGGACGCAGACGTGCTAAAATCGTCCCGGAGTGCCCTCCCACCCACTCGCTCGAAGACATCACATCATTTCTGTGTCTCTGACTCTGCCGCTCATTTCTTCTATCTTCTATCCTTGTCCTCTCTCTTCTATCTCTCCTAATTATGCCTCCCGCCGTTCTCTCTCTCTCTCTCTCTCTCTCTCGATTCTCTGGTTCCACGAAGAACCCCCAAACTAGTGGACGAACAAGACCTCGCTCCGACAGCGATAGTGGAGTAACGGTGTCTGAGGACCCATCATTTGTCATCGCTGCGGCAATGGCTTGTTGTTCTACAGCAGTATTTGTTCGAGACTGCCGGTCGGCATCGTGGCTTTGTCGTTGTATTCAGTTGTCATCATTGATTCAGCAGATTTGCCGCATGTGCGTTGGCCCAAGCTTGATTTGAGATCATCGTGCAAGCAACGCCGAGTGAGAGCTTTTCGACTCGTCATGGCGAAGCGTGCCTGCAACCTCCTCTCCATCGCCCTCCTGGCCGTGGCAATGTACTCTTTGCTGCCGGCACAGGAGAGCCACTTGGCTGCTGTACTGGTGCAACTTAAAACCGATGATGGCTGGAGTAGCAGGCTGCCAAGAAAAAGACGGCGGATCAGCAAAACTGGCAATAACCACCAACAGTGCAACAATGGCGCTGGCATGACTTGAACGCGGATTCCAGCTCCCAGTGTACAACTTTTGTTAATTATGGACTTGTGCAATCTACACGTTTCATGACAGAAGCCTTCCCGCGCCGTTAACATCTACGAAGGCCCGAGTTCTACAGGTCAAAACACGTCGCCCGTAAAGGTATGAAATACGAGGTCCTTGATTGTGTCTAAACCCGAACCCACAATGATATATGTGAGCATTTGGACCCTTTGGCAGCATCTGGACCGAGGTTTCATGGCTCCGCAGGCCTTGCGCGGTGCGTCCCTGAATGAGAACCCATCTATGCTGGCCCAGGGCAATGTCCAGCAGGAAGGCCGTAGCATCCAGGCCGGTGGGCGGTCTTGTGGGCGCAGAAAGATCTGTATATGAGGGTCGATAAGGACGTACTGCAGGGTTAATTACAGGGTTTAGGTCCTGTTCGTATCCCGACCAACAGCGCTGCTGAGTCAGGGTCATAAAAACTTATTATGTTACTCAGTTTTCAACCAGCGTTTATCGAGTCAGGTGAGCATGGCGGCCACTGGCGGTGAGCCAACGCGCTTCCCTCTGGTATTCCTTGGACTACTTGCCGGCACTGCAGCTGTGGGCTTGCTTCTAAGCTGCATGAGTGCAACCAACCGCAGGTCTTAGAAATGCGGGTTGGACCCAAGGGTGCATCCGCACGAATTCGCGGTCGTATTCCGTACCAATCCTGTCTAGTTGTACTGGAGTATTTCCCAGATTCCAAGCTCAACTTAAATAAATAAATAAATGTATATATATATAGTCTATAGTCAAATATGGTAACGCCCCGCTTGCCAAGCATTGCTCAAGTACTTCCGAGTCAATCGCTTGGTAAGCGTTTTATGACATAAGGTGTAGTCAGGGTCAAGGATTGGCAACTGCAAAGCTGTCTGGATAGACATGGATGCTCACGTACTATATTACACTGTTTGAACTAATTATGTTATATCACACTATACTGGATTCTAGTATCTGATACTATACAAATCTGCATTGCGCGAAAATGATATTACGTTATACTATATTCAAACGTTTACAAAATTAAGGGGTACAGGTTTGGAAGCTCACTCCGCCTTAGTGCATCCTCTGACCCAGAGGCTCCACTATCCCTTGGCCAGGGATGCCCTAAACCCCCCTAGGAGGAACCCCAAACGCTCAAAAGCCTCAGGTCTAAGCCCCTAATCCCAGAACTTCGTTTGGTGAGAGTAATGAAAACCGACAGTCTGCGAGAATTACACTGAAACCCGCAAGATGAACACCCTGACTCCTTAGTCGTTGAAAGCCACGAGCTTTCTTTTTGTGGAGTTTGGGTCGACTTAGGCCTTGCTGACCATTGTTGCTTCCAGTATTACTTAGGATTATTGCTGCGAGGAAAAACTTGATTGACATTTCTCTTATTCGCATGAATATTCGTAACAGCGACATGTTCAACCACATATAAGGCTTGTGTTTGAAAAATTGCTACCATGCTTTTATCATCATAACAGTACCATCATCACAAACGCTTCAAGTCTTGGACTTGTTGGGTTGTTGGTCCTCTGAGGTTGGCCGTCTTCTTCTACGGCTCCTACTCTGGCGCTGGAAGCGGCCTTTGAGCTCTTTGGGGCCTCGCGCTGAAGAGTCGAGGAATGGCCATCTGAAAGCTTAGGGAATAGGAGGGTTTAGGGTGTAGGGAATGGCCATCTTAAAGACCCTGAACTTTAAACCCTAAGCTGGTTTCTCCAGGCTTGTTTGAGAAGTCTCTTGAACCCTCTTAAGGGTTCTATGCGAGTTTCAGCCTAGGCTTTCAAGACTCTTGGGTTTTGAACCCCGAGGTTGAAGGGTTCAAGGAGAGTTTACGAAGCTGCTTCCTTTTTTTTTTGGTGTGGTTTGGGGGCACTTTTCTGGTTAGATCTCTCCTGACGAGATGGCACGAGTCCTCGATCACTTAATTTTACTCGCTGGTCTGCGCCTCGACGCCTCCCCCAGGACCCAGAAGGCCTCACTAGGCCACCCAAAACCGGAAACCCTGAACCCCGAAGACGCTAATCCCGAAACGCCCCAAAGCCTAAACCCTATAGAGCCCCGTACGCCCAAAGTACCTAAACCCTAAACCCCTAAACCCTAAACGAGGCGGGGGGGCTCCTGGTGCAGACCAAGGATCACTAGGAGCTTGCAAGCTCGGACTCCAGCTCCCGGAGAAAAGCCCGCGATGGGTTTGGGGGGTTCGGGTTTAGGGTTTGGGGTTTTAGGGTTTAGGAGTTTAGGGTTTAGGGTTTGGGGGTTCGGGTGTAAGACTATAGAGGTTTGAAGAAGAACAGTACTGTAGTAATGGTAACAGTATCGCCCGTAGTCCCAGTATGATATTGTAAAGAAGGTTCTACTAAATGGAGGTTTGAGGAAGAACAGTAGTAATCGTAACAGTATGGCCCTGTAGTCCCAGTATGATGATATTGGAAAAGATGTTCTAATTACTGAGGCCGGTATATTAGAGGTTTAGGGTGTACGGCCAAGCGCTTCATGGCTATAACGTCATGTTTAAGTAGATCAGTTTCTAAGTATATGATGACTTCAGGCTTGTTGGGTGTCTGTTCTGTGTGAACTTCGGAGAGCTTGAGCATGTTTTTTTGCCGGAAAAATGGAGAGAGTGCAAGTAAAGCAGCTGTAAACATTTGACCAACATTCATAACAGTCTTAGTCCCACGGCCCAAAAAAAAACTAGCCTGCTTTCATCCGCCTTTTAAGCTCCCACGAGGCCTCAAGTCAAGCCGAATGACAAGTTTGGATATAAGGGAGTTACTGGGATACTGCAGGGCCGAAGCCATGCTAAGCTCCCAGGTCATGAGGGCTACTCTACAAGAGGTCTCAACAGAATGACCCGTAGAGCCAGTAAGGCGCTAACGACGGGCTACTTCATCATCGCCGGGGTGTCGATCTTTTGCGCTTCCCGGCCCAGCCTGTGGCCGGCCTCAAGCAAGACCATTGGTTTGGGGGTTTGGGGGTTTAGGGTTTAGGGTTTACGGTTTAGGGTTCCTTTTCTAGGCCTCGGAATGTTTGCGCGAAGCCCATAGTTGGGCCACAACACACACCGAGTCGTTTCTGGCAAACAGATCGTGCTGTACCGGTTTCAATAACCGTATGTTGAATAATTCGTTGCTGAAGTCTAAGTCTGAACTTTCAAGTCGAAAGACACAGGGATGATTGACCTTATGCCTGTCCCTCGGCTAAGTGTTTGGGGGATTTGGGCATAAACTTTCGCGTCTTCTCATTTTCTGCGAGTGGAGCAGTTTGTTAGCCATTATACAGAAATGTGACAGGAAGCAGTGCGACTTTAGCGTAAATCTCAGCTTTCCGTGCGTGGACCTGCCCGTGAGGCCTACACTCATCGCTGCGCGTGCCTTGGGTGGACTGTGCTGGGGTCTGGCAGCCGTGCACTATCCGACTTGGGTGAATCGGAAGCTTGGGCTGCATACATAGTGCCATCATTTTCCTTATTCACTACATAGCCCCATCATCTTTAGTTATACTATACACTGAAAGCCCTGACCGGAAACAAAATCTTAAAACCCCTAAATCAGAAACTCAAAGCCGAGTGAAACTCATCCAAACGCTCTTCGTAGAAGCTTCCCCGAAACCCTAAACCCTCAAACCCTAGAGCCCTACAATTTGGGATATTAGGGTTTGTATAAGGGTTCGATCGGATGGCACTAAAATGTGGCTGTTTGATACTTTAGAGGGGTGCTTGCAAAAAGCTTTGCAAAGCCTCTGTGTACACCCGATGGAGTTCTAATAAAGCCCTTGAAGCAGCGCAGGTATGGACCCGCTGACAAGCGCACCCTGTGGATGGCAGGGATCAATGCCATGCTCCTCACAGGGATCGTGAGCGGCTATGCCCCGGCCTGAGAATCGTGTTTTGCTTGTGTGGTGGTGGTTGCCCTGGACCCGAAACAGTCTTCGTGCTTCTTGTTGTCTGTGTCTGTTGTTGTTCCCAGAAGTGTGGAATTGTAACGCTTGAGTCTGCGGTGTATGTCTGAGCCATTCGGGACTGGAAGCTTATTGCACATTTTATGAGGTGATGTGTCATGATATTCTGTGGTTCTGTTAGATCAGTTAGGTATTTATATTGTACTGTCTTACCTCATCTTATGATATCTTATCTTCTCTTATCTCAAATGGTATTATTTTATCTTAAATTGTATTATATGACATTAAATCTGCTATATTGTGTTCGATTCATGCTATGTTGTGTTTTTTTAATGTTGTTTTATGCTATCTTATAATAACATTGTGCTATATTCTACTGTCTATTGTAGTATTTTAAAAAAATTGTTTATTTTGTAGTTGACTATGCTTCACGGCGTATTGTGGTAACTTATTTTTATCCTGTAACAAAGAAGGTTTTACCATGTAATTCAAATTTCGTTTTTTACTAGACTATACTTTACTAGATTGTACTATACTATAAAACACTGTGCTATACTATGCTGCACTACACTATGCTTTGCCATGCTATGTCACATTGTAAAATATACTCTTATAATACGTGATCTACCGTTATATTTGATTACACTTTACTTTAGGAGAATATTATTGTACTATCCACGTTACTCTATTATAGTGGGTTAAACACTACAATGTAGCATAGTTTAGTATAGTGCAGTATAGCATGGTATCGTATAGCATAGTACAGTATAGCATAGTATAGTATAGCACAGTATGGTATAGTATGGTATAGTAATACAGTATAGTATATGCCGGACTAGTCCAGCCTACGAGGCCTTTCCATAGCACGGATTTGTCAAAAAAACATCGCGAAGAACAACCCAAACCTAGGCCCCGCACACTGAGGCCGTTCCCCTTAATGTTAAGCGCTGTCCAACTGGGGCTAGAGTGCCGAGGCCCGAGAGGGGACCCAAAGAAATCCAGCTCTGTAACCTAAGCATCGCCAGATACGCGGCGACAAAAATTGGAATCAGGTTTCCTAGGGGTTCGTACAGTAGGATCTGAAAAGTGGTTTCTTAATTGGATTAGGGCTATGTTCTTGTACAACATGGCATACTTCTACAAGGAGCACAAGGGCACACCGCCAACAGCTATGCAGACCCTCTACATGAAGGCTGCCGCCCTAAAATTTAAATTAAGGCGCCAGATGTCCGATTCCCAGAAGGCCCAACCCTAGTCTGAACGACGGCACGTACAAGCACGAAGACAAGTGGCCAGAAACTAAATGGCAAAGCCGACAAGTGACAGAAAATACGCTAAGCCGAAGATGTGAAGACTGCAAGGTAGTCGGAGGCCTCTCGCGTGCCACGGGGGCTGCCAGCTGGGAGTTTCTGTACCTCATGGAAGGCAGGCAGTGCTTAGGACATGTTCCAAGCTTCTTGTAACTTTCAGGGGATATCCGAAAGGTGCTAAGGGGGTTTGGGTGGGTGGGTGGCATTATTTAGGGTTCTGAGAAGTTTACGACTTTCGAATTTTTGCATAGAGGATTCAGGAAGCTCAGTGGTTGTGGAGCTTTACTGTTTTGTGCGACAAGGGGCTCTGGGTTGTGGGTTTCGGGTTACGGTTCGGAAGTTGGTCTTTCCGTTTGCATCTCGACGGTATATGCAGGGACCGAGAACCCAGACCCGAACACCCGAATCTTTGCCGGTTTTTATCAAATTTTCGGAATGCCTTTGCTGAGTTTTGCTCGGACAGCTTCGCTAGCCATGGAACCCGAAGTAGTTGGACCATTCGTCCCAAAGCTTTGCTTGGATTGTGCGACTGTGAGATTCTGGAAACCGCGCACATAGAGAAATAATCTGCCCTCACACAGATACGCAGAGATTGTCTGGTCAGGCTGGTGGAGAGCATAATTGTGCACCCAGGCCTGACAATGATGTCCCACAACTGCCACACAAAAGCAACAGTCAGAGGGATAAGGGGCTGGGAGCCGGAATCGTCCTTGTGGTAGGTGCTTTTCGACCCCGCTCCTGCGTTATGCATGTCATGTATCGAAAATGGTGACGGGAAGGAGCCGGGGGGGGGGGGGGGGGGNNGGCCTTGTTGGAGCCGGAATCCGGAGGCCGTTGTTGTTTTTGCATGCGCATTTGTGAGAATGTTAGAGATAGAAAGTATGAAGTCGAAGATGAAGATGATGAACACCATGTGCTTATTGATGCTGGTGATGATGATGATGACGATGGTGATGTCTGGAGCGTGACATTGGGATTATTCGCTTAGTCAGGGTCGCGATCCTCGTGACGGTCTTCGTTTTTCTGGATCTTGCTACTGCCGCGGGACGGGGAGCTGCGCCATCCTCGTGACCGCCATCTTTAAATGCGGAATTTCATATGGCTGTGGGAGCGGGCAGCCAGACATTCCCTAGCCAGCCTAGGCCCTGAATGAAGCCTAAGGTCCTAAAGCAACATATGCCAGGAAAGCACTTGGACAAGCATCACGTTGACATCCGGCTCTTGATTTTACCCACCTGGCCTTGCCAAATCTTGTCTTCAGCCGAGTGGAAGAAAGTGGAAGTTATCAGGTGCATGCTCTCTGTACCACCGAACGATTGTCAACAGCAACAGTCGAAATTCAGCCTTCTGTACAGCAGACGATGTCTGGATGGCTTCGCATCTCCTGAATCCTGTGCTGTTCAGGCCTACTCATGCTCGGCTGTGGCATTTGTGGAAGCCGATTCGCGAGCGATGTCGTCCAGGTGCATACGCTGCACGAAGGGCTAGTGAGGATACACATGTGGTTTGCTTTAAGTTGATCTGATTTTTTACGGTTGTCTGGCCATAGAGCAGCTTGTCCTAAACCGTTCAAGGCGCCTTCTTCAAGACTGAACCGCCCCAACCAGAAGGGAGGCGGGCAAAGAAGGCTACATGAGCAGAGGGAAACTTGCGGAACGGTTTAGGGTTTAGGGTTTACCCATAGGGCCCCTAAGTAGTTCCTTTTTGGGTTTACCTTATAGGATTCTAAATATAAGCCACAAAAAGGAACTACTTAGGGGCCGATGGGTAGGGTTTAGGGGAATCGACCACGCATTTGGGAGATCCCGCGCGCCACGCACGCCTGGCCTTCGGGGACCAAGTGTCGAACGTTCACCCCGCACAGCGCAGAACACTCCCCATACAAAAACTCACGAACCTCGTGCTTTGGTACAGCAAGCCCAACATGAATCTGGGGCCCCACGGATCACAGAAAATTGTGCCGAGAAACCCCAAGTTCACGTAAATCCCGAGAGAGGAGGGGCCCATGAGGCCTTGCGAGGTTTAGGAGTTTAGGGGTTTGGGGTTTAGGGTTTAGGGATCAGTAGGGTCTAGGGGTTTACGGTTTAGGGCTTTAGGGTTTAGGGCTGTAGGGGTTAGGGGTTTAGGGGCTGGGGCAGTCTAACACTTTTAGCCCTGGCTTTTGCGAGAACCAACTGATGCAAAGTCCTCGGTAGTAAGCATGTTTTCAGCCCACCGGTCCCAAAACGGATAAATAGATACACATATATATATATATATATGTATTTGTTTGTTTATTGATATTTATTTATACACAAGTTATGTATGTATATATATATAAACATACACATACATGTGTATATGTATAAATGTATACATATGTAAGTTTATACATCTAAGTCTGTTTACATACGTATAAATATGATAAATATGTATTCATGCACATATATATATATATATGTATATGTATATATATATATGTATATACATATGTATGTATATTTATATGTATGTGTGTATATATATATGTATACAAGTATACATGTGTATGTATATACATATATACATACATACATACATACATACATACATACATACATACATACATACACACAGCGCACCCTGGAAGCCGACACCCTCAAACGAGGTTGGCGAGCCGGAGCCAGCGAAGGAGGCCGAGGAGGCGGCAGCGGAGGTAGCCCCGGGTGGCCTGGCAGAATGAAGATGGCGCTGCTGATGATGATGAGGATGATGATGACGATGGTGATGACGATGATGATTGTGATGGTGGTGGTGGTGGTGGTGGTGGTGGTGGTGTGGTAATGATGGTATCTGCAGTCGCTTTCGTTGTTTGGATGTGTTGTGGCTTTGTCGTTGTGCGTTCGAACAACTTGCTGTGAGGCTGTTACGTCGGTGATTATGGTACCAACTACTAGTTCTGGATTTGCGCAAAGCCCTAAACCCTAAAACGATTCGCTGTTTTCTGCAGCTTAGCCATCTTAGCACCGACAAGTTCGATACCTATGGGCGCCACAGCCTTTTCACCAGAGGATTGCTCCTGAAAAAGTAGAATTCAAGGACCAGCAACCTCCCTCCCAGCCTAGGTCACGACACGTCCTTCGTTCCGAAGGAACTGAGGGCACTGGGCCGTTCGGGCCTGTTCCTTTGCACATTGGCGGCGGGATGCTTCCAGTCTGGATCGGTTGGCTTCATGCTCCTTGCCCCCATGCTATGACACCCGGATGTGGTGAAGTCTAAAATACTTTTTGTTGCAGAGTTTGGCCCGGGATTGATTTGCTGCCTTGGAGTTTTCGTACTCTAGTTGGGGTTTGCAACTGAAGTACTCGAAGTTTAAGTGTGAAATGGAGGTGTGGAGTCAATGGTGGTGATGGTGGTGGTGGTGGTTGTCGCGGTTGCGGTCTTAGTCGTGGTGGTGTTGGCGGCAAGGGTCGTGGTAGTAGTGGTGGTGGGTGTTGGTGTGGTCGTAGTGACAGTTGCAGCAGCAAAAGCAGTAGCAGTAGTGGTTTGAGAATTGATTGTGCCTGTAGCCTGCACATGCAGATCCAGCATCTACCGAAGGCTCTACTTCATTACTCAAGCACTGGGAGCAATCTTCCACTGGAGTGCCCAGACCATCTCCATCGTGGTGCTTTGGCAAGGTTTAGGGCAAGGACTGTTTCAGACTTAATCGTTTCGGGATTCCGCAATGTCGAACGGCAAGCAGCACCAAGCAGTAGCCACAGCGATGGCATCCCCGAAAGCCACAGGAGCTGACCGTGCAGAGAACGGCATGTTCAAGAACCTCAACTGGCTGTCTAATAGCAGGGGTGACCCGTGCAAGCCGTCCATGAGCCCCGAGTCTTTCCTGGAATTGAGTCGTCCTGTTCGGCTATGAGGCTAGGAATGACGAGAGAAAAGATAGAGATAGAGAGAGAGAGAGCTGGATACAGTTAGGGGTATCCACGCCTATCGCAAGGTTGAAACCCCTCATGCACCCCCCCCCCCCCGTCCATGCGCCCCAACATCATGTTTCACTGTTTGGTAACACACCCTAACTCACACCCTTATTCTTGACACCGTTTTTTTCAAAAAACTCACCTCACACCTTATCCGTTTTCAAAACATCATTTTGTTCTCAAGCAAATTGTAGTATCTTAACGCCTTTGAAGCTCTCCGAATGTTGACCATAGCGCCTTATTCATTTTATTTTTTTGTGTTGTTTCATCGGTTTTTATTTTCAATTGCTCTTATTCGTTTTTCATTTGTTTAGTCTTGCTCGTTTTCAAGTTCTCCCCCAAAATGATAAATGTCAGCGGTTTTCCGTATTGAAAAACATTTCTCGAAAATATCTAAAATCAATTCTTCCCGATAGGCGCAGGTGGGTTTATTCATTTTATCAAATTATTTCAATATATGTGTATCATATCCCGATAGGCGTGCCTAGGTTCTATATGGGTTTGGGGGTGGTATCGGGGCTTGGGGTCGCGTGGCTCGCGAGCCTCTGGCGAGGCGTGAGTGTGTGCACTGCGCACCTGCCTGCCACACAAAGCACCAGACCTGCGGCGACCAAGGTCCCAGGCAGCAAGCCGACAAGCAGACCCACCGGAGTACAACAGCAGCTCGTCGACAACCTGCTCTACCAGCAGCCGGAAGCACAAGAAGCGCAGGGCCCCCAAAAAGCCGGCAATGCCGCCGGAACCCCCAAAGCTGGGCAAGTATACATACCGCGCGACACCGGGGAACAGGGGTCCGGTGCCGCTTTTTGGGACATCATGGACTTTGGCGAGACGGGAACACCACGCCAGCAAGGGGCACAACAGCGAGCCAGAAGGAGAACTAGACGAAAGGGGACATGCGACCCAGCAGCACCTGCTGGAGGGAACTCAAAGGAGGAACAAACGATTCGTGCGAAAGCTCGAGGAGTACTAGACGAAGAGGGACCCCGTGCCGCCTTCGGGAGGACCAGCTCTAAACGTTCAGGGAGGCACCAAGGGCGGGGCAGCAGGAGGAGGGATGGGCACCAGGCCACATCAAAACCCGCGGAACCAGCGGCTCCTTCAGACGAGCACCAGTGGCCAGAGATGGTTTGGCACAACAAGTGTTCCAGACGCCCATCAAAATGGACAAGGCAAATGCAAAGAGGTGAGGCACCCAAGGAAGTGAAGCAAGTGATTTACGAAGTTTTGTGTGCAAACTTTGCAACCGGGGGTACTTGGGATCCATGAACAGTCCAGGTGCACAAAAAATGGATGTTGTGTCTCCATACTGAAGCACCGCACCCAATTTGTTAGTTCATGCGAGGGGGACATCGAGCGGATGATCGAGGCCACATACCGACTACTACTACGAAAAGCTTGACGAGGCACACGCTCATAATCCTTTAAAGTGGCGTGCCCGCAACAAGCACACGGCTCGCGGAGCCGGTAGCTAAGCCACGTCTTGGCAGCCCTCCTGCACACAAGCCCCACCTGGGCACCCAGTTTTTGCCGTGTACCAAACATATACAGCCGAGCCCGTCCACGGAACAAAAACTCGATGGGGTTGCTCCCTGGAGCGGGGGGTGGGGATTGCCCACTCCACAAACCCCGAGCAAAGCAAAGAGCCAGAGATAGAGAGGGAAGGAGACAAACAGACACATCGACCAACCCCTGTTGAAGTTCGGGAAGCCCCTGTTTGTGTCCTGTAAAGCAGCGCCGAGTAGCCGAATACGAATGGCTCATGAGCGGTGCTTGGCCGTTGCACCAGGGACTGAGAGGTTGTAACACTGCTTAGAGGGACGGGGTACACTCATACAGGCGAGGTTTCTGGCGCAGGTCATCATCGCTTCTATATCAAGGAAGCCTCTCATGCCCTTCCCTCCAAGCGGAAGCCCGCAAAGGCGACCCCTAGACCCTTTCGACCCTGAACCTTCCTTCAAGAAGGCCTCACGTCCTGAGCCCACAACCCCTTGCATGTTCGATTCGTCGCTCTCTCACGTCGATGGTTCATCAAGACTGTGGTTCGGGAACCATGAACCTGACCATAAACCCAAAACTCGAAAGCCTGTTGTCTGGCAGAGGTCAGCATTGTAATCACGGTGGGCCCCATCGGCGGAATCATCCTTGGGGCACTTTTGCCGAAAGAAGCTGTTTACGGGGCAAGGTTTCGGATTGAGGGTGCAGGCGTGGTTTGGGGTTAAGACGTGCTCTCCAGGTGTCTATGGGGGCGCAGGCTGTTGAAGTTTTGTTTGCTGAACAAGGTTTTTAGCATAGAGCTGCCATCTGTCAGACGGGGGCGGGAGGCCCCTGCCCTCCTTGAAGTGATATAGGCTGATTTAGGTGATCATAGGATTCGCAGGCGGTAAACGAAACCACAAAGTCTACACGCTGTAAGGCCCTGACATCCGGGCTCGCTGAACCCTAGGCCCTAAGCCGAAGCCCTAAAACACGTGGCTAATAACTCTCAGGCCCCAGTTCCACTGTGTTGAGGTGAGGACTCAGAGTTAACTTTGATTTTTTTCCTGGGGGGGGGGGGGCACTTAGATCCAGGCAAATTTCAATGCTCGGGTGTTGTTTGTTCTTCTCCCCCTTTGGGCGACTCTTGCAAAAGGATCGGTGAAACACCGCTCTTTTCTCCGCAGCAGGTGTAGCCTGCCTGAAGGCCCAGGCGGTTCAGGGACATGGCGGGCTTACATATAGAGATGTACCTGAGATGTTTGCCCAACGTGCCTGCCGTTGGTTTGAAATGCTGATCTACTTTTCGCGGTGTGGCGAACTCCACCTGCCATGAGGCCAACTATTTGAACAGCGTCGGCGGCTACCGCAACTATCGTCGTGCCAATGCCATGACGGAGCCACATATGCCTTAAGTTGCCTGAATTTGGCGGGCTTTGCAGGGTGTTCGTGTGGTTGTTAGCAAGGGGTTTCGATGGTTATGCAGGGCTTTCGAATGTTTTAGTAAGAAGCTCTGTACGGTCAAGTGACGAATCTTGCAGGGCTCTTCATGTTCGCCTTCCGTGCTTGGTTAGTCAGGAGGATAAGAAGGAGCCTGGCCCTGGTTTGGCAACCCTGGGTGCTTAGGCCTTACTGTAGGCTTTAACATCCCTGGCATACAGATCTGATAGGGCTTGCGGATGCTTGGGATTTAAAGTTTAGGGCACTTTCGTGCGACGAGACGTTCTCGTTTGCTTGATGATGCTCGTCAGGAACGGACTGGAGTCTCCCCGACAGAGAGAGAGAGAGAGAGAGAGAGAGCAGAACCCGAATCAAGTTCGGACACCCCATGTTCTTCAAACGAAAACAGCCAAACCCAACCCTAGCCGAAGCTGATCTGGCGAGCACTTTTCCAACACAGGCGGTGTGCGCTATTCTTAGCCTTCTCAGCGGCTGTTGCCTACCACTGGCAGGACGGGCCTACCGAGACTTGTGGGATGGTGCAGGATATGCTTGTATGTATAAGTCTTTCCGCGAAGGTCCAAACATATATGTAGTCTGTGTAGTTCTCTAAGTGAGGGTCCCTTTCATTGTCTTTTCATAAGGGTGCCGTATGATTTGGTGGACCTAAAAGGGGTTTACGGTTTAGGGTACCCTAAACCCCCTAGACCTTACCTTAACCCCAAATAACCTACCGTTTTAAGGACCTATATAAAGAAATCATAATAAGGAACCCTAAAAAGGTAGGTTCTTTAGGGTCCAGGTATAGGCCCTAGGCTCCCCAAAGTGGGATGTCGGCTCCTCCGAGGCTTTCCACCGCTTTGCTTAAGGCTTCCAGGTTGAGGTTTGGGCGGTAGGGCCTTTAGGATGTAGGGGTTAAGGGTATGGGGTTTAGAGGACCCTAAACGCGCAGATGTTTCGAAGACATTTCCTTAGGCTTCCTTCCTCCCACCTCGAGTCTCCGGAGATTTCATGATTCCACCTGGTGGCTTGCATAGCGCTGCACCACACCCGGAACTTGAACCTCAACACGTTCAACAGACTCTTTGGAATGGTTCCACTCATTGAGCATCTTCGTGCTCCAACATGTCATAGTGAGCAACAAAACCAGAAGCAAAAACAAGGATGAAACAACTACCTACTATATAAGGCCCTAGGGGCCCTAGTACCCTATATAGTATAAAAGAATGGAAGCCAGGCTCCTCGCCGGTCATTTACGGAGCTGCCAACCTTGGTTTGCTTCTCTTCGGGGCAGCACCGACGGCCGCGATCAATGGCATCGCCGCTCGGAGATCGATGTTGAGTTTCGGGTTGGAGGGCTCGAGGCCTCTTCTACTGTTAGTTAAGGGTTCGAGGTTTACGGTTTACAAGTGTGTATTACTGTGTATTTTAGAGTTGTCCCGTTTCAGTTTGGGCTTTCCTGAAGAGGAAAGGCCTGCGGCGTTGCAATTGTTGCAAACTACGCTTGCATGTTGATGTTCCTCTAGCTTGTCTCACTGGCTTGCTTGAGTTTCAGCTGTGCAAGCATGCTAAAGCGCTTGGAGGCAGCCACGACAGTCATGGATCCAGTCGTCTCGCTGTTTTATGCTCCGGGCCATTGCACAGCGCCAAACCCGAAAGTACCCAGAATGTATCCTCGACGAAGCATTGTCGTCTCTTCTGATTCTATCACCTGTATACAGCTTGTATGAGCCTTATGCCAAGTTCCGAAAACAGTTGAAACACCTTCCGCCAAATATCTGCGAATCAAGTGTAATGGAAAATTTATGGGCTTAGATGCTCAGTGCACAGATACCATCTAATTTTGTGGCTGGATTTGGGTTAGGTTGGAGACTTGGACACTGTAATCTTATCAGGACGTTTAGGATGTGACAGCATCCACTGGCACAGCCCACACGACTTCTGTCCTTAGGCAGAGGTTTCAAGGCTGAGGCAGCATGAGACTCTAAGTTCGCACAGCCTGCTCCTGAATGACGTCGTTCAATAGTTTCAAAGATGCATATGACGGGCAAAAAGAACGACAGACAGACAGAAGGACAGACTGAGAGGGCGAGACAGACAGAGGCACACAGGCACTCACGCTCACACGCCCACGACTGTGTCGCAGACCTGTGCCGAATCACATGTGCATGAGCACTGCGAAAGGTCAAACGGGAGTACAGTTGGCGGGCTGTTTGGTGGCCAGGCGGTGTCTTGCGTCCCAGAAGCGAAGCACTTTGCCTCGGCCACCCAATTCGCTGCGCCACCTGGCTTAGAAACAAAAAGCCCTTTTTGCGTGTGGTTGGCTTCAGTTGCATAGGCTTGCTTAGACCTTTGGTGCAAGTACTCACTACCAGTAGCTGGCGGCAGTCGAGGAGCGCCGAAAAGATGTTCAATGGTTCTGGAATAGCAGCTACATTCAAGCTCCTGGATGCACAGCTAATTCAGCGTTTACGCCTGCACACGACACCACGACACGACACCTGAGTTTGAATACATCGTTGGAGGCAGTGGGCAAGCCAGCACATGCTTCCTGAAAGCATTCTGTTCAAAACGCGCATCCACTGCCAGTTCTGGTCCGGTCTCTCTTTTTGCCCATGTCTTTCGTGGCGAATCTTCTGACTGCATGTGCTTGAGCCTTCAGGGCTGCGGTTGCAACACGGAGAGCACTTGCGGTGTCACCCACGTCAGCAACATGGTCGGCACCCTCGATCTCGCCGATCTCTGTAGCCAGAGCCTCCAAAGTTCTCTTCATCAAGAGCCCCTTGAGCAGGATTCCCCTTATAAAAGATGGAAAACCTCGTCGGCAACTAGGACACGATGCTGGATGATGCTTAAGAGTGTCCGGGTTTCCAGGCAGAATCTGGCAAAGCTCTTGATCCCGTTGCTGGGTGGGGCCGTGATCGACCGCATTGGGAGACTAGCCTGGCAGCTGGCTTTCTGTGGGTTTAGGGGTCCGGGGATGTCTAATAAAATATAGGGACCTTACTAATTAGAATACGGTTTGGGGTATATTATACTATCATTATAATAAGGAACCCCCAAAATCCTATTCTAATTATTAAGGCCCCTATATTAAGTTATTTAGGGGCCCCCCTGAAGTCAAGTGCCCTTTACAGTGTTTAAATAGGGGCTTTCCAGGTTAGGAGTAGAAGGAAGTTGTGGTGTCTTGGTGTATGATCTTGCTAGGTGATTCGACTTGGGAGCGCAGGGATGACGAGCGCATGAAAGACTTGAGATACGCGGCATTTAGGGCCTTAGGGTTTGGGTTGTGGTGTGAGGTTTCTGTCAGACAGATGCACAGCACAGACCTGTTCACAGTCGGACGTGGCTTTTAGTCCTGGGAATCTGTGCAGAGAGACGACACGAGCAAACATCTCGGTTCCTCGAATGACACGGCGCGTCACGGGGCACGTCTCGGTTCCTCGAATGACACGGCGCGTCACGGGGCTCATCGTGACACATTGCTCGCTTTTGAGGCTGGTGCGGGGATACCACACTGTTACCATCGGCTGCTTCGATGCATTCTCCAAGAAGTTATGGCATAGAAGACAACACGTTCTATGCAGATCAACATTGCTTCAGTTGCCAGGGTTTCATACGGTCAGTGCCAGACTGCCCATAATGTCAACTCTTTATAGCTCCTCCAGGTTGATTTCTCTCAGTTTCAGCTTGGTTTATCGACTCCGAAGATCTTCGATCCTTCCCGAAGGGCAAAGACACGAGAAGTTGTGTTCAAAGCTGCACACGACCTAGAGGCCTCGTAGCAGAAAAGCGCGGCAAGATCAGAGATGCCTTCTCAGCAGCTGCTGTACGTTTGCGACATGTAGATTCCACAAACATCCCGTAAGAGACATGATAAACAATCAAAAGAAATTCATAAAGCCCAGAACATCCAAACTCTGCCGGTGCGGGCATCGAAGCCTAACAGCATTCCAGCGAAACCTGTCTGCGCTCTTTTGCAGCCTTTGTAAAACGATCAGAGAATATCAGAGACATGTACGCCATACCCCAAAAACTAAGGTCCTACTGGCCATGGTATAGGAGCCACATGCGGGACCCATACTAGACTCTAGACAGTCTTAAGCTCTCTAAAGGCTCCTCTGTATCAGACCCCAAGCCAAGCCCCCGTGTATAGCTACACCTTTGTAGGATCTTCTGGTTTAGGGTTCAGGGTTCTTCGGGTTTAGGGTCCAGGGGTTTAGGGATCAATCCTAACACCGAAACCCCAAACTCCAAAACGCTACACTGTAGACCCCTGTAGCCTCAGCCCTAAATCCCGGATGCCCTTTATGCCCTCCTAAGACCACGAAGCGCGAAGCTGAGGTGCCCTCATCTTCTATGCCATGGCAGCTTGCACTGCTTACCTGCAAGCTGCCCCTTGCTGCTGGAGTTTAGGCTAAACAGGTTTGGGGTTCCAGTGTTTCAGGTTTAGGGCAGCCGATGGCAGACCACATTCGGAAAATCACATTCGAGGGTTCAGGGCTTGTCGGGTTATCAGCGTCTGGCCAGGGGTTTAGTTTGAGGGCTTTCGGTGCAGGGCGCAGCTTGCAGTGTCTAGGCTGTGTAAATTTTTTTTCTTCCGAAAGTACGCGGAGCCAAAACCCTTTACCCAACACTTCGAAGCCAAAACCCTAACAACCGAAACCCTAAACCCCAAAACCCCAGCCATGAGCCCAATACCCTCTAGGGCCGAAGGCTGCTGGCTGGAGGGAGGACTTGAGAGCGTTCGAAGTTTCAGGACGTCCGGGTCCAGGAAGTACCCTTGGGTTTGACCCGTCCTTGCTCTCACTCTCGGGGGTTAAGCAACCTTGAGTGGCAGGATCCCTATTATTTAGGGACTTTATTCGGGCTTCCTTCGGGTTTGTATCAGGGTTTCGTAGGGGTACGGCCAGCCAGTCCTGGCATGCAGGCTTTCAGAGAGAGGCTCGGCATGCTTGCATGTCCCGTAATGTATGCGTCTCCACACGTCTAACCCCACATCCTGAATCCTGAATCTGCAAAATTCTGCAAAGGTGAATGCCTGAATCCTGAGTCTGTAGTTCCTGTGACCCTGCGCCGATACTTTGATGTCTTGAACAAAAGCTGTGTCGGGTAGCAGGGTGCTCAAACGCAGCAAAGCCGAATCGAGGCCCGTCAGGACGATGAGGATGCAGACGAGGAGTGAGTGATGAAATGGTGTTATGTATTTCTGCACAAATGGTATATTGTAAATTGTAATGTATGTGCATGTCTATATAAGCATATAATACAAAATATCACACTTGGTGTGTAAGCTGTTCAGAGATCCATCCTTGAAGTTGATTTCGGGACAAAAACAAACATCAGGTTTAAGTAGGTTTTCAGTTTCCCCACCTTGGGAACAGGGGCTGTTGCTTCCCCACTCTCCGTCCTTGTTCTGACTATATTTCTTGGAATGAGGAAGATTCGTATCTTCAGGCATGCCCATAGCCGCAGCTGACCAAAGACTGTCGGCTGAAGACGCAGAGGGCACAGTAGCGAAGCGGCATTCCGCACAGAAAGGGGCCTCTGGCTGTTCGGTGTTTCGAGACTAGGCTTAAGTATGAAGGGGAGCATTCCCACGTAGTTGTCTGGATTGTTCGATGTTTTTCGACGTTCATGAGTTTTCGTTTGGCGAAAGGCTGTAGGCAAACAATACGTCCGATGCCTTTCCCCACTCTTTGTATGCCTTATCTTCACCTCTTTCGGCTTTACGATTTGGCAGGCCTTATTGCTCCAAGTTCAACAGCTTGCGTGTAGTCGTCGTCGTAGACTCAGCATAGACCATAAGCCAGGCTTCTGTTACATGCAGTAGCTGGTTACCAGGATGTTATCACTGGGAGTCTCGCTTTGATCGCATGTTTGCTGTCACTCTTCCTGCTGCTACTGCATACCCTGCTAGACTGCCAGTAATATGGTCATCATAGTTGCTTTTAGTATTCACGGCTGCCGCCTCTGCACATGACGACCTTTGGCAAACATTGAAGAATGCTTATGGTAGAGGGCTATTTTCTAAACCGTAGTAGGGCTCCCTCATCACAGGATCTTCAACTCCCTATCCTTCATATCAGAGAGTGTAAAACACAGATGTCACAGCCTCATTGAGCCCTGTTCCCAGGTTGGCGCCCATTCCTGCCCGGGCCTTGGTGGTTTTCTGGGGTCGCGTTCTACAAGAATTTTGTTGTGATTTGGGTTACGAGAAGGTACAACAAGGTTCAGTGCAGTCGTACGCTTGAGCTCAATAGCCGTGAACCATTGGCTCCTACTTCACGATTGCAGACATATAAGCTGAACTTAGAAAGGTTTTGGACGGCTTTGAAGTCTCGGCGTATCTGTGCGTATCTTTCTGTCAAGACTTTTGTTAGACAAGACAGGACGATTGCGCACAGACACGCCGTCGCCAAACCCCATATTGCTGATTGCTATCGGGCGTCAGGGCTCGGAACTTGCGACGTGTGGTTACTGGTTGTAAAACCCTATTTAGCCCCTGGCATTACAATTGCTGATGCCGCTACTGCTACTGCTACTGCTACTGCTACTGCTACTGCTACTGCTACTGCTACTACCACCACCACTACCACCACCACTACCACTACCACTAGTACTATGACGACTCCTATTATGGCTTCCTGATCCCC